CACCACCCTCTGTCGCCGACTCGCCACACTTTGTCGCCACCCCACCGCCCCTTGTCCCGCACACTCCCCCCCTCCCCTGCGGTGCATGACAGAGGGAGGTGGCGCAGCAGATGGCGGTGAGGGCGAGTCGGGGCGTGCACGAGGCGGAGCAGCTGCAATACGTGCGCGAGTGGGTGCAGCGCGAGGAGGGGCACGCAGAGCAGCACCTCACGGCGCAGCAGTGTGCGGCGGTGGAGGCAGCGGCACTCGCACACGTGATGGTGCTCACGGGGGGGCCTGGCTGTGGCAAGACGTACACCACTCGCCTCATTACTCGCCTCTGGACCGCGCAGGGCAAGCAGGTGCGGCTGGCACCCCACACGCTATTCCTCGCACATTAGATTGCAACCTGCAAGTGCCCTCTCACTGCCATCTGCTTCCGCCTTGCTTTATTCTCCCCGCCCTGCTATGTGCGCTGCTATCTGCCCGCCTCCCACCACCCCTATGCCTGCCTGCTCTCAGGTGATGCTGTGCGCGCCTACAGGCCGGGCAGCGCAGCGGCTGGAGGAGGCAACGAAGCAGAAGGCGCACACCATTCACAAGCTGCTGGGGTGCTCCTCTAATGCTGCGGACCAAGAGCTTAGTGCTGCTGGTGCTATGGGTGGCGCAGGCGTGGGTGGGGCGGGCATGGTGTGCGATGATGCACTGGGCAACGATCTGCCGTTGTTCAACCACAACAAAGAGAACCCCCTCAAGGTGCACTCCCCTCAACGTGCCGTGCCGTGCCAAGCCACCCACATCCATCAGCATTCAAGTGGCTTCCTCCCCTCCTGCCTGCTGCCTTGTCCAGCTGTCTGGTCTGGTGGTGTTCCTTACTGGCACCCACCAGGTGCACAGTTGCTTGCACGTGTTCACTGATGCCCCGGTGCGTGTGTGGCACGGCATGTGTGCTACGGCATGTGGTGGCACTGCATACGGTATGTGAGCAGGCGGACGCCATAATAGTGGACGAGGCGTCGATGCTGGATGTGCCGCTGGTGGCAGCGCTGCTAGCAGCGTGCCCACCGGACTGCCGGATTCTCTTCGTGGGGGACAAGGACCAGCTGCCGCCCGTCGGACCCGGCAAGTTCCTTGCCGACATCATGGGGTGCGTGCTCCTCTGCCGTCTGTCTGTCTGTCTGTCTGTCTGTCTGCCATGTGCCCATGTGCCATTCTCGTTGCACCGCTCTCTCATCCTTGCCGATAAAATGCCTCTCATGCCCATTTCTCAATCTCATTCGCTTGCTATGCTGCCACGATCACCCAGTCCTTGTGTGCGGCCTTTGAATCCTGTACCACACAACCACTAGACCTCTTTCTCGTCTCGCTACTCCTGTACTCTATGCTGAGCCCGTGCCTGTCGTGTGTGTGTGAGCGGGGGAGCAGGTGTGGGTTTGTGAAGGTGCACCGGCTGACGCACATATTTCGCCAGGCGCAGCAGTCGCACATAGTGCAGCACTCCCACGCCATCCTCAACGGCACGCGCCCCTCCTTCTACGCGCCCTGGCCTCGCTTCCACTCTGCTGCCGTCGCCTCTGCCCTCTCGTCCTTGCCCCCCCCCCCTCCCCTCCCCCCCCCCACCACCACCACCACCACCACCACCACCACTGATGCTGATGCGTCTGCTCCCTCGCTCCCCCCTGTGGAGAGTGCTGTGGGGGGGGACCAATGGTGGACCAGTCTCTCCTCCGACTGTGTGCTCTTGCACGTGCGTCCGCACCTAAACCCCTCGTATTTCGTTGTTGTTGTTTGTCCCGGCTTATTCCCATTCTTGTTCCTGCGCTTCTCCACCCATGAATTCCCCTCGGTAGTTCTCGTGGCCCATGTGTCTCCTCCTCTCACTCCTCTCGCGTCTCTCTCTCTCTCTCTTGCCTCTCCCCTTTTTGTTTCTCAAACCGTGTAATGCCCATTTTCTCCCCATCCATTCACACTCTCTTCCATCTCTCCTGTCGCCGTTCACTCTCCTCCCTTTCCCACCCAACTCAAACCCCTCTCCACGTCCCCCATCGCCCGCTGGGCAGGCGAGGACGCACGGGGAGATGGAGGTGGTGATGCAGCATGTGCTCACGCGCGTGCTTTGAGTCGACTCAAAACACACCTTTCCCACCCAACTTCCCCTCTCTCCCCTGCCCCCTTCCGCACTGGCGGGCAGGCGCGGACGCACGGGGAGATGGAGGTGGTGATGCAGCATGTGCTCACACGTGTGCTGCCGCACCTCACAGCATCGCCGCGCGACGACGTGCAGGTGCTGGCGCCCGTGCAGCGCGGCCACTTCGGCGTCATGCTCCTCAACTCCGTGAGTGCACCACACACCCACTCTCACGGCTGTAATACACGGGCTCTCTGGGGGCTGTAATACACAGGCGCTATGGGTGCTGCCATGCGTTGCCGCACTGTGGGATCGAGGGTGCGGAGGGCAGCTTAGGAAGTGGAAGAGGAAGCGAACACGAGAGGCAGAGAAACAGGTACTTATGAGGAAGAGGAGGAGGAGCTGATATTACTTTTCCCTGCAACATATGACCCGCCCTCCCCCTGGCAGCGGCTGCAGCAGCTGTTGAACCCGCCGTGCAGCAGCAAGAGGGAGCACCGCGTGGGGCCAGACATGGTGTTCCGAGAGGGCGATAGGGTCATCCAGCTGGTGAGTCATCCAGCTGGTGAGTCGTGCAGCTGGTGAGTCGTGCAGCTGGTGAGTCGTCCAGCTGGTGAGTCGCTCAGCTGGTGAGTCGTTGAGCTAGCCATGAGCAGTTCATCAGTAATGACATGAGCATCGCACCACAAGCCCGCCCACACTGCTCACATGATAAGCGCACACCACGGCTGCATGCACCAATGCCCCTCTCTCTCCACCACCTCCCTGCCATGCGCCCTGCCACTGATGTGTGCGCGTGTGCATGGGTGCCATGGGGCGAGCAGCGCAACGACTACAGCTTGGATGTGAGCAACGGCGACCTGGGGATCATCACCAAGATCGTGCACGGCGACAAGAAGGTGAGCTGCGCCTCCATCCCCCATACAGCGCCGCTTGACTGTACCAGTGCTCGTGGTTTTGCTGCTGCCTCCTGTGCTCCCTTGCACCAATGCGTGTGTGCACACGCTGTGCCATGTGCCCCCTCCCATGGCCCCTCTCCCGTTGTCCTCGTGCATGTGTGTGTGTGTGTGTGTGTGTGCGCGCGCGCGCATGTGTGCGTGTGAGTGGGTGCGAGTGGGTGCGTGAGTAGGTGGAGCTACATGTGGACATGCTATCGGGCAGCACTGCCTCCCCACAGCGAGTCATCTACACCAACGACCATCTCAAACACCTCACTCAAGCATGGGTGCACACAATATGCCTCTCGCCCTACTCCATTCCTCGTACTCCTTCTCCCCCTCCCCCTCCCCCTCCCCCTCCCCCTGTCGTTTACTTCTTTCCTTCGCACTTTCTGTCACCTCGTTCCAATTCCATGTCTCCCCCTAGCGATGCGCGCTCGTGCCCTGCTTCACCCACACTATCCATCTGCCACCTGCCCTGTTAAACACAGAAGCTTAGGTCCTCTCCTCTTGCTGCTTCTTCTCATGCGCCAATGAGCCATGTCGTCTCCTTGCCAGCTCATCGCGTGGCCCGGATCATGTGTTTGTGTGTGTGGCATGGGTGGTGGCAGAGCATCACGGTGCACAAGGCGCAGGGCAGTGAATACCCCATCGTCATCCTCCCGCTCTCCGCTGACTATGGCAACTTCTTCAGGTCTGCTCCATGCACCTTGCACTACCATGCACCATGCACTCATGCACCCAACACCCAACCATTCCTCTCTGTGCCACTGCACTCTCTGCACACACAAATCTCCTGCCACGTCATCCCTCAGAACTCATCCATCCCATCCGTGCCCCCATGCCCCTGCACCATGTGCGCCTGCCCCAGTCGCAACCTGCTGTACACGGGGCTCACGCGTGCACCTTGCGCTTGTACCCAACCATCCCTCTGTGTCGCTCCACTGCACACACCAACTTCCTGCCCCATCATTCGTCTCACATCCACAACTCATGCATCCCATCCCTGCACCATGTGCGCGTGCCCCAGTCGCAACCTGCTGTACACGGGGCTCACGCGAGCGCGCAAGTTGGTGTTCCTCATCGGGCGAGAGGAGGAGGCCATGGCAGCGCTGCACCGCACGCGGCAGGAGCACCGCCACACGCGCCTGCTGCACCGCCTGCTCGAGTACTGGCAGTACTGCACTGGCGACTCCACACACGGGCCCCTCCCACCCTCTCACAGCCCATAGGCTCAAAGTCCCTCCTTTTCTACCCATTCCACAAAATGGATGGGGGATGTGATGCGGTGTAAGATTATACGTAGGTATATAGTGCGAGGCTTCCTGCCAGCCTCCTTATTCATTGCCATCATCCAACAATCTGCCAATGGTTTATGATAGTGTGTTCTCCTTCTCACACACGTGCCTCCATACTGTAGCAAACTAACTGCATTGTCCTACACCTGTAGCTCATATCGTTGGACTGAACGCTCTAAAAGTTGTTGAATAGATTTTTTGTGATTGGGCGCTAAGCTAACTCTTCCCAGCAATACATAGCCTTGAATAATTACAGCAATATGAGAGGAGCAAGATGGCATGCCTATCTTCATGCTGCGTGAGTGGCACATGCATTGTGCATTGTGCGCCTGTGTCTTGAACTTGGCAGAGTAACAGCAGCACGCCATAGTCGCAATAAGAGCTTGTGCGTGTGGGTGGGAGAGCAGCACGCAGGCAGCACAATGACCTTGGGCCCAAGCTGGCATCTTCCCACAACAGTCACCGCACTCTCCCACTGCAGCGTCGCGCAGCTGAGTCACTGCCTGCGATGCTGGCTGCGGATGTGGGTGATCTATCAATGTGTCACATCTGTTAGTGACCGTCATCCATGGCATGGGAGCATGGCATGTGAGCATGGCATGGGAGCATGGCATGGGAGGGGCAGCACCACAGCTGCAGCACGGTGGCATGCTGCAGTCATACGGGCGGCGTTGGGGGCCTGGTGGGAGCAGCGGCGAGCATGCGCAGGAGGCGTGGGAGAGTGAGCGCGCCGGGACCAAAGCCGTCAAACACTGCCCGCACTCCTCTGAACTCCGCCCCTGATGTCATGCTGGGGGACGGCCGTGCATGCACGAGGGGGGGTAGTGTGCAAGTAGGAGCACACATAGGGGCATGGGAGGAGTGGGGAGGATAAGGAGTATATTGAGAGAAATTTGGATGAAGGTCCATGTGTGTTGAGCGTGGTGTGGGGTGAAGGAACAGGAATGAGAAGGAAGGGATAAGCAAGGCGGTGATTGCATGGCGGGGCGCACCTGCTGCGAACAACACATGCAGTCATGCCCACTCGCCCCGCCATCTGCACCGTGCCCTGACACCCCGCCAGCACCACACACGCTGCCGCCGGCACCCCCACCACCTCCGCTGCTGCCCGCAGCATGGCCACGCCCTCCTGTGACTCAGACCTGCACCAGCACGCCACCGCAGGTGAGACGGGCAGGGCGGAATGAGGACGAGGTGCCACGAGTGAGCGGGGTGCTTGGTGTGTGGGAGGCATGTGGGTGTGTACACGGACTTGCCTGTGCATGCAAGTTGGTCGCATGTGCACGCCCGTGTGCGTGTTGTAACGTGCGAACGAGCACGAGAGAGATAGAGATGATAGCGGGATGGGATACGGGGAAGAGAAGAGCGAAGTCAGGGAGAAAGGGAAAGGGAACGGGAAAGGGAACGGGAAAGGGGAGGCGCACGCACGGGATGTCTAGGTCCACTGTGAGCTTGAGCGTGCGCGCCACCTCCTCTGCTATTCGCCTCTTCTCCACCAACACTGCTCCCGTGTTGATGCCCACCCCATGCATGCACACACGCATCCACGCACACATGCACACACACGTGCACACACACGTGCACACACACGTGCACACACACGTGCACACACACGTGCATACACACGTGCACACACACGTGCACACACACGTGCACACACACGTGCACACACACGTGCACACACACAAGCAAAGGCAGGAAGACAGAGAAGTTTGAGAGGTCACTACAAGAAGGCGGAACGGTGTAGAGGCAGTGAGTGACGCAGCAATCACTCGCACAAGCAAGGCAGCAGCAGGGTAGCAGACCCACCAGCCTGAGCCATGTGCGCGGCTAGTGCCTCATCCACGCCTGCCAACGCCCCTCCTCCCAGCACCACCTGCCCGAACGCACTCTCCCTCGCCTCCTGCTCGCCCACCACGTGCACCCGCTGCCGCAGCGCTGCTGGCATGCCCCTCAACACGCCCCTGCATGCACCCAGAGCGCCGGAGGGGGGAAACACGGAGTGAAGGGAGGGGGGAGGAAGGGGGCAGCATGTGAGTGCAGGCATGTGCCTGAAACCTGGCAACTGTGACAATCCTGTGCTGCCGGCACCCTATGCTGCTGTTCTCCCCATCCCATCACACACACTAGCACCACCACCCTCCTATAACAGCCATACGCACACTCGCCCCACCCCACCCCATCCCATGCCCCTGTGCCCTCCCTGCCCACCTCGCTGTCTCCTCCCCACTCCGTGCCAGCCCTGCCAGCACTGCCACGTGTACTCCTCCTGTCACCGCGTCCTGTAGGAAGCTGCCAGGTCACATGCATGAGGCAGTGGGTGGGAGGTGGGAGATCGCGTTCGAGGGCTAATGGGGATGGGCATGGTGGCGGTGGTAAGGGAGGGGGGAGGGGGTTGGTGGCGTGGTGCTGGGGGCGATGGGTGAGGCTCACAAGAGGAGCAAGTGGGGAGGTGCAATGCAGGGGAGCAGGCGGTGGGGCATGCGGGAGGGAGTGAGAAGGTGGCATGAGCAAGGGTGGGCAGAACTAGTGCGTGCAGTGCATGTAGTCATGAAGTGTTGAGGCATGAAGACCATCCCCGTCTGTGCAACCCTGTCGTTGTGCCTTGGCAGCACGACACGATTCCCCAGTTCTCCCATTGAGTGCTTCTCAGCAATCCACGCATCTCATATCCCTCGCCCCTGCCCGCACCTGCCCTCCACACTCACTCCACGAGTCCAGGCCGCAGCGGCACCGAGCCCTGCTGTAACGCACGCGACAGGGCCTGCGCCTGGAGGGGAGGCGAGGGGAGGGGATGCACAAGCAGGGCAGAAGGGTAAGGCAGTTGAGTGTGGCTGCGAAAGGGTGGCAGAGAGGGGGCATAGGGAATGGGTGGAGAGGACAGAGGAAACAAGTGGCATGGCATGGCATGTGGTGTGGAGCGCACCTTGAGGTTGAGAAGGCGCTGTAGCAGGGCTTGCTTGGCCTGTGCGTCCAAGGAGGGGATGGGCCACGCCGACTGCAGGGCGAGTAGCACGGGCGGAGGTGGCAAGGACAGGGACACACACACAAGAGGACCGGATGGAGGGAGGGAGAAAGAGGTCGAGAGAGAGACTGTGGGTAGCACATCAGGGTGCAAAGGAGTAAGGCTGCGAGTCATGGATTAGAGGACGCAGAGGTGGGGGACACGAGCCATTGTGAATAAGGGGGAGGCTGTTCCACACTGATGTAGAGGCCGCGCACAGCGCACTTACAGGCGCGACGAGAGTGCACATTGGAGAGCGGAAACAAGGGGCATGGAAGCGCGGAAATAGAGTGGGTGGACGCTATGTAAGTTTGAGTGCGTGAGTGGTGAGGGCCGTACAGCATTGAAGTGCGTGGAGAGCAGCAACTCGAAATTCCCTGCACACTTCCTGATGTCCACACACACACGCACACACACAGCAACAGCAGCAGAAAGATGTGTCGAGGGTTTTTTTTTATCAAATGATTGCAAATGAAGCAGGGGAGGGGAGCCGGCAAGGTAGGGCGCACCTGTGGAGGTCTCTGTAGCGCGAGGGGGAGAGGCGGTGCTCGTCAAACGCCAGAGACGACAGGGCTGCCCGCGCGCCCGGGGGGGTGTTGGAGGAGAGACGGGGGCAGGGCGGAATAACATGGCATGAGAGACTTGGCAGCGTGTGGGGAAAGCGGTAGTGGGCGATAGAGCGGCAAGGTGTGGATGCAAGCACTGTGTTGTGGTGGCAGCAGGTGCGCATGTGGTTTCCCCAGGCACGCACCTGAATTGAGGGCTTCCATGTGCCCATTGCGATGCAGGTCCACCATTACCCTGCCACGCACATGCACACACACACACACACGCACGCACGCACGCACGCACGCACGCACGCACGCACGCACGCACGCACGCACGCACGCACGCACGCACGCACGCACGCACGCACGCGCGCGCGCACACACACACACACACACACACACACACACACACACACACACACACACACACACACACACACACTCACTCGCTCCCTCACGCACTCATCAACGCACATCATATGCACGGCACGCGCCCCAAGTATGCATGAAATGAAATCCGCGACACGAGCACATGAGCGGACTAGTGCAAGGAGAGCAACCACTGGGGCCATGTGCCTCCGCCAGTACTCCCCCATGCCGCACAGCACGCAGGCACCCCCGCACCTGCGAGCGAACCCGTGCACCCGCGCATCCAGCATGAACCCATGCGCCCCAATCAGCCATCCGCACATGCGCCTTCCCCCTCCCCCTCACCCTTCCACGTCCACCAGCAGCGCCACGCCCGCCTGTCGTCCCTCCCCGCGCCACCGCTCCTCGCCGTGCGCCGACGCGACCGCGCTCGCCGCCACTGCTCGCCGCCGCGTGCACGCGCGCCGGGGAGCAAGCGATGACTGCGCGCAAACGACCACGGAACGCGCGGGTGAGCGCCGACGAGGACGGAATCACGAAAGCGTGAGGCGCGCCGAACTCTCAGGTCCCTCATGCCCCTGAGGGCGGGGTGCCATGAACAATCACAGCGCAAATTGCGGCAAGGGGTGGGGCGGCTGATACCGACCTGGCGAGAAGAGCCGGCGATCGCTGCAAGTGATGACGGCGGTTGCATGCGCGTTTTGTGACGGCTGACGGTGAGCGGCAGGTGTGAGACGCGAGGCGCGGTGGGAACGTGGCACGCCATAGGCGGGGGTTGGCAGGCGCGACTCATCAGAGGAATCGCCGACTCGCTGGCGCCACGGGCGCTCTCGTGCAGAGGGAACTTGCCTTGCCCGTCAAGGAAACTACGGCTAGTGAAGGGTACGTCGCAGGACGGCCAGACAGCCGCCAACTTAGTGGGAAGTTGTGGTTCGTGAGAGTGCAGGAGAAAGGATGCGGCAAATGTAGGCTGAAATTCAAGCATTTGAGCGCTGCACGGCACAAACTGAGTGCACGGGAACGACGGTTGCGGTTGCTGGTGTATAGCGAGTGAGTTAGTGCGGCGCGACAAAGTTGATTGGTGAGACAGGGGGGACGCACCCACGCTGACCAATCAGAAGTAGCTGGTCGAACAGAATGTGTGCGTGAAAGGGCTCTTATTGGACGAAAAGTGGTGGTCGAGGAAAAACAGAGTGGCACGTAATGAGCCAATAGGAGCTGATTGACTTCAAGCTGTAATATAAGAATTGTATACGGAGGTGTCACAAAAAATACAATGAAATCAAGCATGGCACTTGCTATGCAACAAAACATCTAGGTAATCTCTGAAAAAATGTAACACATTCGATGTGTAGTGACTTGTTTGAAACCCAACAGGTGGTCGTTCAAAATAGACACAGCCAGGTGCCCCGGACAATACCAATGGTGGAATGATGGCGGTGCTGGCATGGACCATCCAGTGAGTGAGCTCGCCTTGTTGAAGGCTCGGCCCGGCACAATCAAGCAAGGTATCTGAAGTTGGTGGGGTTCTCCTTGTCTCGCTCCAGATACTCACGCGCAATCAGGTCCTCAATGCGCTTCTTGATCACCTTGAAGTCCGGCTGCTCACACACACTCACATGGTGCACACACCAAGTTCCCTCCGTCAGGCAAACTACTTCTGCAGCCAAGCGGGCGGCTTGGAGGAGCGCCTGGTACAACTCGCGTTGATTGGCAAAAAAGTACAAGACAGCAATGGAGTAAACGACTGGCACAGGCGGGGATGGGGTGTGAGGAGGGGCGTTACCTTGAACATGCGGCCTAGTTGCTCGACGCATTCGAGCACGAGCTGCTGGTGGCCCAGCACCTTGCGGCTCTTCATGATGCGCACGATGGATGCGTCTATGGCGTACCGCCGATCCTTGTCCACGTCCTCTATCACCTTCTTCTTCTCGTCCATGGGCGGCAGTGGCACCTGCAACCACCCACACACACCGCCACATAACACAGCATGGGAGCACACCCACGATGGGTCAGGAAAGTGAGATGTGAGACGTCTGTGGCATGGCCGCAGGCAGCTAGGCCATGACAAGGGCAGCATCACACAGACCGCACTCCACAATCATGCAAACAAGAGAGTGCCGTGCAAAGCAGAGCAGGGCAGGTGGGCAGGGTGCTGACCTTGATGCGCCTCATCTTGTCTGTGAAAGACGGGTTGAAAGCGAACACGTCGCTCTGCTCAATGGTCTTGCCAGCGGGCTCCTTCACAAGAATCTTGTACTTGGCGCAGGAGAGGGAGTGCAGCAAGCGCACAATATCCTCGTCCGTGAGATTCAGCTGGTTCTTGATGTCGCTGTAGCTGAGGCGCTCGGATGCGTTGAAGAGCAGCAGCACGGCGGCCTGGTACGTGGTCACGATGAGCTCGATGGGCTTCGCTGTGAACTTGCCCGTGATGTTGCACGTGCCCAGCGAGTAGATCCACGTCAGCTTGCGGTGCTTCGTCTTCGTCTGGTAAAACTCCTTGAACACCTCCACACACCGCACCTGATGCCCCATGCCCCATGCCCGCCCACATCATACGCGTAGACACACCCACACACATGCACACACATGCAGTCACAAAGTCACATCATCATAACCTTGCGCATCAGCAGGGGGAGAACGATAAAAAGGCATGCCCGTGAAGCAGCGACTTGTTGCAGGCAGGCAGGAGGCATAAAGGTGAGCGCACCATTTCAGCGGGCAGGGCGAGGTCGGATGACTTGTAGGAGGGCCAGAAGCCCGTGGTGAGCACGGTGACGGTGAGGTCTATGCCCGGACTGTGCCCGGGGTTGTCCGCCAGATACTCCTCAAACGCTGTCTGCTGCTCCCTCGCCAGCGTCAGATCCGTCACCTGTAAGGGGGCACACAGAGAGAACACACACATGCACGCACACAAGTCTACATTGGGCATCAGACCAGGATCGCTGTGTGAGTAAGCAGTGCAAATGATCGGCAGCAGGAGTGCAGAGCGGGGTGGAGGTGCAGGTGTGTGTGTGGAGTAATACGAGGCACGGACCATGCCCTCCATCTTGGAGGTGAACTGGCCGCCACACTGCTGCTTGAGCTTGGTAAGAATGCTGCGCTCGTGGTCGTCGTTCGCACTCTTGTCAAACAACAGCCGCCGCGCCAGCTTCTTGCTGCCACATGCGTGTGTGTGTTGGGGGGTTGAGGGGCAGGGGGGGTACCGAGGACGGGAGAGGTGATGAGAGGTGATGAGCGGATGGTCTTAGGTGGTCTTATGAACAAAACGAATTATATATATATACATGGCATAAATGCAATGCAAAACAAAAACAAATAACGAAGCGCATGCAAAAGTGAAAAGAAATTGCCTAAACATGAAGACGGGGGAAGGATGGATACGGTGGTGAGTGTGCTTGCATGGGGAGTGCATGACATACCGGTAGAACTCAGCAAACAGGTCCTTATCACTGATGTACGCCAGCAGCTTCACCACCTGCTCAGGCAGCAGAGCGGCGCGGGATGGGCAAGGAATAGTTGCAAGAAAACAGCTGAAGTCATGAACGGACAGCTGCGGAAACGTAAAGAAGCACTGCCACAATGACAACAGCACACAATTCCTTGAACAGAATGCAAACCCCAGCCCCTCACAGCCCAGGACCACAGGCCATGCCCAGAGATCACACACACACACTCCTCCCCACCACCCTCCCCCTCCCTCCTCTCCCCTTTCTCTGCACCCCCTTCCCCGCGCACCTTTTCAAGTGTGTCCTCGATGGCCTCGTCGCTGAGCTTCTCGCTGCCGCCCTTCTTGAGCAGGTTGTCACAGAACGTCGCCAGCAGCTCCGCACTCGTGCTGCCGCCCACGCCCTTGTTGCAAAACGTCTCAAACGCCTCCTTCAACGCCTGCTCGCCCCGCACCCACCCACACACGTTCACGTTGCCCCACACATACATGCCCACATCCACCACACACACACACACGCGAGTGTGTGCAGAGCATCCATACAAACAGTTAAAGGAGTGGTGTGAAGGGGGTGAAGAAAGTGGCAGAGGAATCACGTGCCAGGGCAACAGAGGGACGCTGACAAAGAAACATAGCAGAGGCAGTGAAGCTGGGAAAGAAAGAGGGTGCCGGGAACAGGAGAAGCAGAACAGAGCGGAAGGAAGGGGGGCGGGGCGAAAGCGGGGAAATTGTGAGGGTGAAGGAGAGGAGGGGCGGGGGGCGACCTTGTGGAAGAGCGAGTGGTTGAGGAAGCAGTGGCTGACGTATTGCAGGTACTTGTCGTGAAGCTCTATCACCTTGCGCACAAACGCCTGCTCCTGCGCCCCCACTATGTCCTTCTTCTCCGCCTGCTCCATGCCGCACAGCCCGTGTGGCAGGGGGCAAAGGAGAGGGGGAGGAGGTCAGGGAAGAGAGAAGGAGGTGAAGATGCAGGATGCGGCGTGGAGAAATCGGGGATGCAGGATGGGGGATGTGGATGCGGGATGCAGCATGGGAATAGCCCAAGCTAGTGAGAGCAGGGCAGATGGTGCGGGAAGCGAGAGGGCAGGCACGGTGAGGAGCAGCAAGGAGGCGAGAAGGGGCGCACTGACCTTCTTGTTGCTGGCGGCATCCTCTGCCTGCTTCACCAGCGCTGTACCCTCGTCCGTCACATGCTGCAATCGCCACACAACCACACACACACACACACATGTGCACGTGGACACACAGGGTGTCAGCATCAACGAGCGCACTGGACCACAGGGACGGTAATGCAGGGAGGCAACGAGGAAGCACATGCGGGGCAGGGAGCAGGGGGGGCGGCGGGCAGACCTGGCGGAAGATGGTGGCGATGGGCTCAAGGCCCTTGGGGATGCGGCAGAAGAGGCGGTACATGCGCGACAGATCGTCCACCTGCCACCACGCACGCACACGCATGCCCACCCCGCAATGCCATGCCACGCACAACACAACACTCTCTTAGAGGCGCGCTCATGCATGAGAGAACGAGGAAACAACGAGCAGAGCCGCGGGGCATGGGCAGAGCCGAGCCCCGCGAGAAGTTGAGGGAGGAAGCACGGGGTAAGAGATGAACAGGGATGTGCGGGGAAGAAGAGGGAAGGGGGAACGAGGCGGAGGCAGAGCGAGGGGGCGTGAGGACTTGCCTTGTCGTCCTGCAGCAGAGCTCGGCAGCCTGAGTTATCCTTCTCCAACAGCTGCTGCTCGTACTGCGTCAACAGCTCGTGCTGCACCTTCTGCTCTCGCCTCCACCCGCCACACCATGCATACCCAGACCCACCACACACGGAATTAAAGGGAAGGGGGAGAGGGGGGCGGAACGAGGGATAGAGATGAGGCAAACGGTAGCAGCAGACAGCTAAGTGAAAGGCAGAGTGGAAACGGAGTGGAACAAGAGTAAGGGGTGGGAGGGGCGTACCTCGAGCAGCTTGCCTTCACTGGACGCATGCAGGTAGTGCGACACACGCTCCTTCTCCCTCTTCAAACACTCCTCCGCCTGCACTCCACCACCACCACCACACGCCATGCACGCACGCACGCACACTCGCATATCACATCAAGCAAATTCCACACGAGCACGAGCCGACCAAGAAGGCAGCAGGAGCACGAGAAAGAGCAAGGGGCAAGGGCAAGGCAAGGGCTAGGAGCAAGGGGCAACGGGCAACGGGCAAGGGAAAGAGCAAGGCCAAGCGCAAGGGGCAAAGGCAAGGGGAAGGGCAAGAGGCAGAGGGAAGGGCAAGGGGCAAGGGGAAGGGCAAGAGCAGGAGCAAGAGCAAGGGGCAAGGGCAAGGGCAATGGCAAGAGAAGGAGCGAGAGAAAGGCAGGCGGACCTTGAGGAGGTAGTCGGGGCAGGAGTCGTCCATGATCCAGGAGGCGGCCTTGCGCGAGTAGTAGGCGGAGGTGGCGTGCAGCATGAAGACCTCGAGGTCCTGCTCGTAGTTGTCCATGGTGTCCATGCCGATCTCCACGAATATCCCCACCACGTTCTTCACGCCCGCGCGGTTAATCTGCTCGCCCTCCCGCTCCTTGTTCACCTGCGCCACCCCACACACGCGCACACCGCACACGAGCACACCACACACCTCGACCGACCGCGTCAGTCGGCCGAGCCAGAGAAAAAGCTGCGCGCTGACAAAGCCTACGACGCACAGCGGGCAAGGTGACGAGCGGCGCAGCATTGCTTGAAGCGCAGTGCGGTGGAAAGCACGGGAAAGGCGCAAGGGGTGGTGCGACTCACCAGGTCGAGCACGGCATCCTTGACGCTGATCCTGATCTCCTCGTACACCTGCACACCACACCACACCACACCACGCCACGCCACGCCACGCCACGGGACCACGCGCGAGAGCGGGGAGATAGAGCGCAGGAGACGGAGGTAAGCGGACAGTAAGACGACACAGTTTGTTCAGCGCACGCAAGACTCAGTACGCGTCGATCTGGCGGAGGCAGAATAAGCAGGGGGTGCGGGCGCGCGCGAGGCACTCACGAGGTCCTTGAAGCAGGAGAGGCCGACTTCCTTGAGCGTGGGCAGCTGGCGGCGGGGGATGTAGTAGCGGTCGAGGTAGTTGAAGAAGCGCGAGAGCCAGCGCACCATGAGCTTGTGGTTGTCCCACCGCCGCACCAGCTCCTTGAGCATGAACTCGTCGTGCTTCTCCTGCAGCGACGGCAGTACCTGCACGCGCAACACAGCCCCACGGCAGCGAGCAAAGCACCGCGTGAGGTTGCGATGGGGAGACGATCAGAGGGATGTGGGACGAGGAAAGGCACAGCCAGAGCGACGGAGTTACGTGGAGGTTGGAAAGAAAAGAAGAGCAAGGGATGACGAAATACCATGGCTCGGATGTAATCCTCGAAGGCCCCGCGATATTTATCGTACAGCTGCTGTGAGTAGTCTTGAGGATGCTTCTGCGTGCACATGTTGTAGATGATTCTGCCAGGACGGTAATAAATGTTACCAAAACACGACAACGCTGTTAAAAACAGGGCATCGCAAACCTTCTTTCAATCGATTTCGTAATTAAAGCTGGTAAAAGAAATCAGGCGCCAGCTAAAGCAAGACTCGTGACAGCAAGGAACTCTTGTCGACGCAGTAGTCAGGTACTACGCGACTGGGACCAAGGGAAATGTCCGACGGCCACCGTCGATTCGTGGCCTCGTGGGTTGCCAGCGATCTTGAAAGACAAATTCTAACGCGCACATCGAAGCAATCGCCCGTGAATGGCCGGAATTCGCGTTGCCAGTAAACAAAAACAGCGGCGCAGTGTTTCAACGGTTCGTCCTACATCCGGGGGATCTGCCAGGCAGTAACGGGAGAGCGGGACGTACGTGTAGAGGTTGATGTACTCCTCGTGCGTGAAGCGCTGGTCCGGCACGCCCTCCAGAAACTTCTCCAGCTTGTCGATGCCCCTCCGCATCTGCTCCCATCCCTCCTCTAAACTGATCGGCCGCCGATCGCTCATCCTGCACCAATACCTAATCTCCTGATGAGAGCTAGTGTGGAAAAGGCCACACGCTGGAGATTTATTCACGTAAGGCTGAGAAAAGCGTGTATGCAGATCTAGCTAAGAAAGAAAGACTATTATCAGATGGAGTTAACACTACACGACCCTAACGGTCCGTAGCGGGCAAGTCTTGACCTGGGAGACCTACTCCACTATAATTCCCTAATGACCTCTGAGCAAGCGGCACGACCTTGTGATAAAAGCATGTGGGATGATGACGGATGGATGGGATGGGATGGGATGAAGGGACTGCCTTTCCTGGGTGCGCTGTTGCTGCTTCCTGGGGTGATTCGTGCTGGCTGGTGTTCCGCCACCACCACCACGCCCCCGCACCATCCCTCCGCCTCGGTCCCACCCGCAAATGCTCAGATGGCGGAAAGCAGTGCGGGGCGACCACCTCGAACTGTGTTTGGGTTGCGTGCGCCGAGCAGGCTTGGTAACTTCGTTGTTTGAATGCCGTGAAGAAGTCAATTGCAGGTGTACCACTATTTCATTCAGATGAGGTGTAGGCTAATGCTACTAACATGAATTCATCAAATGTAGGGACTGGTTGGAGCCAAGCACAAGCTTTCTTGTTGAAGGTTCCCAATGAAGCCATTGTTGAGACACAGCTACCGTGGCGGATGTATATTAGGCACTACGGAAAAGTCTGACGCTACCAGCTCTATACAAAAACAAACCACGAAAAGGTAGTATGGTGCCCAAACCAAGAAATTGTATAAGTGGCTGAAGGTTTACAAAGCGACGGGAAAAGGGGGGAACAAAATCGACATCAGCACTATAATTTACGACAACTCAATCTCATCATCCTTGAAATGAACAAAGAACTTCTTCTTGGCTCCATTAACCTCAATCTCGAACGCCACCTTGTACGGTAAGTTCGCTGACACTGGCGTTCCCTTATACACTCCAAGGACGTCCTTCACAATCCCTTCCGTTCCGTCCAAATCAAACTCCTTCACCCCTGGCACGTGAAAGACCTTCACGGGTTGGGACACCCGCACCTTGTCGCCCACGGCTACCTTGTTGTGCTCGCTGGCAGGCCCACCACCCAATTGAACGGCGACCTCGGCACGAGCACCACGCTTCAACGAGGGAGCGGCACGTCGAGCCGACGGGAACGACCGAAGCGTAGACGACGACGCGACAGCTTGCCGAAAGCCTGTGACTGAAGAATGAGACTGAGCCACCAAAGTGGTTGAGGCAATGGATAGTGCGCAAGCCATCGCAGAGAAACTACAATGAAGAGATTGCAGGTAAGACGAGCCGCTGTCTGAAGCACCCCCCAATCGCCTCAAAGGAACCTGCTGGAAACTAGCGTGTAAGACAATGAGCCTAAGAAGCGACGGTGTGGGTAAACGGGGAACGGTGATGGATGGGGTCAGGCAGGTGGTGTGTGCAAGGTAAGAAAGAATGCTCGTGGTGGCAGTGTGGTATGAGTCGAACGGTACACGTGTTTGTGACCCCAGCCATTTTCCTAGAGACACCTTCACGAATTCCAGAAACGCTTCTGCTGTGTCAGCGTCTAGTAGACGTGGCATAACATTCAGCCCACCTGTTCGTGGACCTGCCCACGTAGCGGATGAGCCTGCCACGCGGGATCAGTTTTTGGTGGACCATTCATTGGTAAATGTCAAAATGGGGCTACTCCCCACACCAAGGAAATGCGTCTTCGCTATGGAGCTGCAGTGTTGTTAACGAAACCCAGCTCAAGCCAAAAATATTATCCTGTTTACAATAACTGTGTCACTAGGTTTTGCTGTGCTATAAAGGGGTGGGTTGCTACAATAACTGTATGCCCTCATCAGCTATTGATTCTGTTTGTGACTGTTATCATTTTCGTAGAACTTTATTGTTAATAATTCTTTGTTGTTGCTGTTGATGTGGTTTCTTATTCCCCTTCTTGTCCCTTTTCTGTCGCAAAAAAAATACAAGACATTTTATGCAGAGCCTTGCTGTTACCATAGCCCTTTTTGCTGTTTCTTGTCTACAATGACTGTTCTTTTTCCCGCGTCTTTACGGATTTCCCAGCAAGAGTGATGCCATGGTCTGACTGACCGTCATGTTGACACCCACCCTTCCCTTCTGCCCTCGAATTCATCGCTGCAATCCCTTTCCCCTTGTCAGCTTGGGCACTCATCCCGGTGCGCGACATTTCAAATTCTCAAGTTGAGAAATCTCCACCACCTCTCCTGCCTGCCTCCCTTATCGAACCCTCTCGTCGCTGCTTCGCGCGTTCGCCTCTGTCGCTCTCTTACTCCCCCTCCCACGGCAACAGCACCACGTGTCGCGCGTTATCTACTCGTAGTTTCGAGGGCTGCCGGTAGGCAGTAGGTGAGGCGCGACTGCTGGCGAGTATAATATTGTTTTCCGCAATCCCTTTGTGACAGCAATTGTTGCGTCGCACACAGTTTTGCTGTCGTTACACGTTGCGGCGGCTGGCGGCTGATCCGCCATGCGCGGAGCAGATGCGCGCGCGACGATCGACGGGCGGGAGGAGCGGGAGGAGCGGGGGGAACTGGAGGAGCGACACTTCTCGCGGGGCGTGCAGAAACGAGAGGCGGAGCGGCTGGGGTTGAAGGCGGGAGAGAAGTCCGAGAGTGTTCTGGACTCGCCAGGTAGCAGCGCGCGCCGGCAGGGAAAGGCGCATATGGCGGGCGATGGGGACGGCGGCAAGCGGCGGAACGGGAGAGTGAACGCGGAGGCGAATGGCGGAATACTGGGGAGTGCGTGGAAGAAGGCGCGGAGAGGGGCAGCAAGCACACAGCTGTCGGAAGCCCAGGGGGAAAGCGGAAGAGAGGCGGCGGGGGCGAGCGGAGCGGGTGCAGGTAGAGCTGAAGGCAGTGCGGGTAAGATGGCGGAGGGGGGCGCAGAGGGCGCCCGAAGAACGAGGGACGCGGAGGGGGAGGCGGAGGGAGGGCGATTAGTGAAAACGGTGGGGTTTCATGGAGGAAAGTTGACGCGGAGAGAAGTTGCGCGCGTGGCGGCTATTGGTGGCAGTGGTGCTGCTGGTCCAGGCGCGGGAGAAGGAGGAAGAGGGAGGCGGGCAGGGGTATCAGGTGGGCGGTTGGTGCGGTTTGCAGAGGAGAGGGCGGAATGGAGCGATCATGCGGAGGAGAGTGAAAGAGCAGCATGGGGCGTGCTGGGGAGCGTGTCTGAGATGATTGCATGCCTGCATGCAGCCATGCACATGCGCGTTCCTATCACATCCCTCCCATGCCTGCATGTGCACTCCTTGGATGCACCACCCACGCCACCCACACCACCCTCGCCTCCTTCACCTCTCGCACCACCTCTGCTCCTCACCCCCCTGACAGCACCAACGCACAAGCAGCCAGTGCAGCCCGCAGAAGCAGCGCCAGCGCTGCATGTGGGTGCAGTGGCAGCAGCGGTGGGCGCTGAGCTAGCGCGGGTGGTGAGGCGTGCTTCGCCGTGGGATGCTGCTGGGGCCGCCGTGCGAGTGCAGCGCTTGGCTCGGGCCGTGCGAGCGGTGGTGAGGCGCAGGCGAGGAGAGGGAGGAGTGATTGTAGAGAAAGGAGAGAGGGGAGAGAGAGGAGAGAGAGTAGATAGAGGAGAGAGCGGAGAGAGGAGAGAGCAAGGAGAGCAAGGAGAGGGAGGAGAGACAAGGGAGAGGGGGAAGAGAGGAGAGGGAGGAGGGAGAGGAGAGGGAGGAGAGGGAGGAGAGGGAGGAGAGGGGGAAGAAAATGGAGGTAAAGGAGAGGTGGAAACGGGAGGAGCGAACGGTGAGGGAAATGGTGGAGAGAGGGATAGTGGCAAGGAAGGGAAGGGAGAGGAAGAGGGGCCAAACGGGATTGGGGAAGGGGGTATGCAGGCTGGGGCAATGGCAGGTGAAGAAGAGAAAGCAAGGGCAGGGAACCGTGGTGAGCTGTTAGGCGACTCTGATGCTGCTGGTTCTGGTGGTGGTTTAGGTGCTGCTGCTGCTGCTGGTGCTGGTGGCGCTCGTGTCGCTGATGCTGCTGATGCTGTTGGTAGTGCTGGTGGTAGTGCTGCTGGTGATGGTGCCGGTGGTGCTGGTGCTGGTGATGGGGGTGTGGGTCAGGAAAGGGCGGAGGGGAGGCACGAGGCAGCACAGCAAGGCGGGCATGGGACTGCTGCTGCTCCGGACACGAGTACTGCCATGCGAGCTGAGAGTGCTGGCCATGAGACCACGCACATGGAGGTGCATGTCCCACAGCAACCCCAGGCTCCCCTGCATGGTGGGTGCTTGTGCACTGCGGGCACGCATATGCACGCACTCTGCACCAGGTCTTCCTATTTCCTATGCCCTGTCCGTGGATTCCCACCCTCTTACTCTTCCCCTTGTTGAATTCTTTTCCTCCTTCCCTCCCTGGCAGCACCGCTGTCTTCCCTTCAACCACAGCAGCAGCAGCAGCAGCAGCAGCAGCAGCAGCAGCAGCAACCCAGCACCGAAAAGCACCCATCTCCGCCACCCATGCTGCCCCTACCATCCTTCCCCTTCACGGCACCCGTACCCGCGACCTCCCCTGCACAGGGCAGGGCAGCATGGGGGGGGCGGTGGGGAATGGAGGGGGCAGTGGTGGCGGGGTCAGAGCAGTGGGGTGAGGAGGAGGCAGGGCGTGTGATGGCGGAGGTGGCAGCGGGGCATGGCACGATGGTGTTGCTCAGGGACGAGCAGCAGCGCGTGGCAGCAGCAGTGGCGGCCATGCACATGGCGTATGGCATTGCGGTGCCACCACATGGCGGGGATGGCTCAGAGGCTGGCGATCAGGTGATGCTGCTGCGTGTGTGTGCTGCTCGCTCGCTCGTCCCTGCTGCGCACCCTTTGTGGCACGGTTGCCATTTCCTGTGCCGTACATGTTGTTAGGCATGTGCATCCTCTCACGATACACCATGCACGTGCATCCTTCATCCTTGCACGATATTCCATTCCCTCATGCTGACCCTTCTTTCTTGCCAGTCAATCAAGCAAGGCCATGCAACGCCGTCCGCAGCCCATCCCACCCACCCGGTGCTGCTGCTGCCGTGCATGCTGGAACTCCCAGCGCTGCCCTGCGCCGTGTGCACGCGCCCTGACTCCTCGCGCACTGCTCTCATCTGCGACACCTGCGACCGCCCCACTCACACGCGCTGCCTCGCCACCTCCCCCGCTGCTGTCACCGGGAGGGGCAGAGGCAGGAGCCGCGGAAGGGGGCGGGGCCGGGGGCGGGGGCGAGGGCGAGGTGGGTGGCAAGCAGCGGTGGGGGAGAGTGTGGTGGAGGAGTGGCACTGCGGTGCGTGCAGGGCCCAGCGTGAGGTCAGTGGACAGGTGGCTCTGCCCAAGTATGGGCCGCTCAGGGCACGGGGTGATGCTCGTGCTGCCCAGGGTGCTGCTCAGGGTGCTGCTCATGGCGCAACGCCATCCACTGCTGAGCGGGCTGACATACGTGGGGGGGAGAGCACAGTTGACTAGGTGGCAAGCAAGCAACGGTATGGAGCACACTTAGACGTGTGCTCTCACACCTTGTGGAGGGTGGCATGTGTAGCCCCCGCAATATGGGTGGAATTATGAATGTTCCCAAGATTGCAAAGCACATTGCCTTCTAAAACCCACTGCAGGGTAACAAAACAATACAAGCAACATCGTTTACTAAGCCAATTCACCCGCTGTTGTCACAGAGATCAACATGCAGATGCTGGGTTTACTCACACATGCAACGGCTGTCACTAGGGGCAAGGCTGACACGAGCTGCGCAAACCGACATTCAGGGTTACTAACTTACTACACAACTTAAACACCACCACTGACTATTTCGGAGGTGCAGTATACTCAAGCTTTACTAATGCGGACATCTTTAGATTGCTTTAGGGGAGGCGTTTCAAGCCAAGTTTCCCTCTTTCAAGATGCCTCTGCACCTTTTTCCACCTCATTCAACCCCCCCATGCCCAATGCACTTCCAAAGCGATGTGCCTCTCAAATCACTGCCATACACAACAGTGTCTTGCTCCACTCCACTCCACACCCACGCACCCCTCCCTCTACTCCACTCCTCAGTAGTACTCGTCACCATCGCCCGCCTCGCAGCCCTCCTCCAACACCACCACCATCTCCTGCACCACTCCCTCCTGCTCTCCCTCCTGTGCCACCTGCTCCGCCCTCTCTGCCAGAGCCACCTCAGCCGCTGCAAGCGCCGTGAGAGTCTCATGGCACGCGTGCCTTGTCTCCTCCACCTGCCGCAGCACCGCCAGGGTTGCTGTGTTACCGGCCACCTCACTCCACTCCTTCCACTCAAAGTACCGCACTGCTAGGTCCCATGCACCCTCGTTGCTGCTCCTGCTGCTCACCCTCACAACACTTCGCCCACGCGTGCCGCCACCTCTTGTCTCGCTGTTCGGCCCTGCTTGGTCCACGGCCGGTGCAGCCACTGCCGTGGCAGCACCAGGAGCATCCGAAGCTGCTGTTGCTGCTGCTGCAGCGGCAGAACTTGGGGCATCCGCCTTTACGTCCTCAGAAGCTGCCTCCGCCCCATGGTCATTCAGAGCCATGTGCTCCTGTGTTATCTGCTCCGATGTGCTGCTCGCGTCGTCGCCCTGCGACTCCTGCTGCAGGCCCGCTATCGCTTTCTTGAAAACCGCAGCCAGCTCATGTGATTGCTTGCGCGCCTGATGCCACGCCAGGGGCATGGCACAGTCGTGCGGGGCACACAAACAGCAAGAAGAAACAGGAGCGAGGCGTGATCAAAGGCAGAACGACAGCAGAAACGGCAGCAGCAGAGGGGGCATGCAGGAAAGTGGTGAAGTGAAAAAGCGCAGGGTGGGGCAGGGGAAGTGGGGGGAGAAGCAGGAAGCACAAGCCTCACCCTGGTTGCGTGGTGCAGGCGAACCTCCAGGTCCCTGCGCGTGCACTCCAGCGACCGCGCTGCTGCCTCACTCGCTGCTGCTGCCGCCCTCACATGCCGCGCTGCTGCCGCCGCCTCCCCCGCCAGCAACTCGTACTCTGCTCTCAAGTGAAAAGAGGGGGGGGGGAGGGAGCGGGAGATGTGTGGGTGTGAGACCATGGTGTGACGGAGGATACAAGAGTCAAGGCTGGTTGGAGAGGGGTGGGAGTGCAGTGCAAACAGCATGCTACTGTCAGTCTCCTATTGTTTCTAGCCTGCCACTCCCATCCCATCCGCCCAGGCAATGCATTTCTCTGACCGGCTTCGAGTCGCAGCAGGCTGGCGAAGGGAAGGTGCACGCGCAGGGCCTTGCTCACTAGCTCCTCTAGATAGTCCTCCGATACCTCCTGGCAGGGGGGCAAGGAGGCACACATGCACATGAACATGCACATGGACATGCAAATACGCATGCACACACACGCAACCAGGAGGTAGCACGTTAGCGGGGCGAGCACGTTAGCACGTTAGCGAGGCACATAGGATGGTGTGAGGTGGGTGGGAAGGCAAGTGAGAGGTAGGCAGTACGGTGCCGATCGCAACAGTTCACCTCAGCTCCCATCTTCCCACCGCAGTGCCTCAAGCCCACACACACCACCTGCTCTGTCGCCTGTAAAACATCCCATCGCGTCACCACAATGAATGCCTTCCTCTCTTTCACACACCACTCTCCTCTCACTGACTTCCATCCCCCTCCTACCCCTTCCACCCTCACCCCCCCAAACGCCTTCTTCCCCCTCCAGTGCTTCATGGCCACCTTCCCCCCCCTTCCCCCCTCCCCTTCCCCCCTACCGCTTCCCCCCTACCCCCCTCCTCCTCCCCCCTACCCCTCCCTCCCCACTTCTCCCCCCTCCCCCCCTGCATGCCTTGAGTTGCAGGGGCAGTTCGACGCGCAGGAAGTGCATGGCATACTCCATCTCCGGACACTGCTGCAGCTGCCGCTCACACACCTGCCATCCATGCGCCCCCCACGCACACACATGCGTGCCGTGATGAGGGGTTGGGGCAACGCGGGGGGAGAAATGGAGAGGAGCGGAAGAAGAAGGGGGGGGGTGGGACGGAGGGCGGAGAGGGGAAAAAAGGGGATTAGGGTGAGGGTTTGTTGTGTGGTGGCGGTGGCGAGAGATGAAGTGGGGGTTGCAGTGAGGCGGTACTGTGATGGACTAGGCGCGCAGCATGGGATGGCATGGCATGGAATGGACGTGGAGGAGGTTCGAGTCAACACAGCGTGGTGACAGAGCACCTAACATTGTGCACCCAGCATTGTGCCATGTACAATTCAATGCGGTGCAATGTGGTGCACGACTGGCCGCACAGCCCGGGACAGCATGGCATGGCGTGGCATGGGGCAGCAGAGCACAGAAGAGCACAGCAGAGCACAGCAGAGCACAGCAGAGCACAGCAGAGCACAGCAGAGCACAGCAGAGCACAGCAGAGCAGAGCAGAGCACAGCAGAGCCCCACCTGCAGCAGCACCATGCCGAGCTTGAAGACTATGGCCGTTGTCTTGTCCGCTGGTGCATGCACATGCGGCACAGACACACACGAGGGAGGGGTGGCACACCACACGAGCATGAAGCATGAAGCATGAAGCATGAAGCATGAAGAATGAAGCATGAAGCATGAAGCATGAAGCATGAAGCATGAAGCATGAAGCATGAAGCATGAAGAATGAAGCATGAAGCATGAAGCATGAAGCATGAAGAATGAAGCATGAAGCATGAAGCATGAAGCATGAAGCATGAAGCATGAAGCATGAAGCACAGGCACAGGCCGGGCAGGACACTGGTGGTCCTGCCAAGTGTGCACACGAGCTAGAGTGAGGAGTGGCGAACGCGGCATGGGAGCGGGGGCTGAGGACAAGGAAAACTCCGAATGGGCACGACGGCGGGCGGCTGTGCAGTGTCGAGTTTGACACAACATGCACTGGAGAATGGAGTCGGTAGCTATTCCCATGACTTGTGCTCTGCCGTCACTTGCTCTACTGTGTTGGTGCACTCATGCATGTTTGCATGCATGCATGCATGCGGCGGGCACGCAGCGGGCACGCACCAAAGATGATGTCAAAGACGCGGAAGACAATGTAGTGCGGCATGGTGCGCGCAACGAGACTAGTGTTGCTACCTACTAGTGGTGCACCCGGTATGCATGTTCATATCCAGCAGGCACGCACCAAAGATGATGTCAAAGACGCGGAAGACAATGTAGTGTGGCATGGTGCGCGCAAAGAGCGACAGGAACCAGTCCGCTGCATACATCACCTGCCCACGGGGGAGGGGAAGGGGTGGTGGAGTGGAGAGAAGGGACGCACACACACGGATGGGACGGGTGAGAAGAGCAGGGGTCTAGGGGAAGAGGAGGGGAGTGCGGGAAAGGGAGAGAAGCGCGGAGGAGCAGAGGGGAGGTTCGGGAGGGAGCATGGGGACTCACGGGTTTGACATCGAGCTCCTCAAAGTATGCGTGCACCTCCGGGTGTGCGTCTATGAGCAGCTGCGATAGCTGGTACATGCGCACTTGCAACTGCAGGGAGAGAGAGAGAACAGGAGGGGGGTGGGAAGGGGCGAATGGGGGAGAGGAGGCGGAGGTTGGGAGGGAGAGAGGGGAGCTGGATTGGATATACGTGCAGTTGGGTGAGCATGGCAGGCGGATTACTGGGCCATGGAATGGCAGGAAGAACAATGTATGGCGGTACTACTCACAGCACGGGGCAACACTCACTCACAGCACAGCGGGCAAGTGCGTGGGCAGGGCAGGAGGGCAGCAGGGGCGCACCTGCTGCATGTCGGGCAGGAAGACCCCTCGGAGGCCGCACTTGTAGAGCAGGAAGACGAGGCAGCAGAAGGCGTCCTCCTCTCCCATCAGCAGCAGCAGCGTCGCCACTATGAACCCCATGCCCTGACAGTACCCCACCTCCTTGTCCAATACCTGCAGGGTGGAAGGTGAGGGGGGAGGGCGACAACGAGTGGGGGTCGACGGGAAGAGGGAGGGAAGGGAGGAAGGTATGTATGGATTGTGGGCAGGAACGATCAAGGGAGAGACGAGAAATGCAGGAGGGGCGGGGAGGGGCGGGCTTTGAAGGAAGTGGCTCACGGAGAATGAGGTGAGAAAGGTTGGGTTGGGTATGAATGAGCGAGGGTGGGGGAGAGAACGAGAGCGAGGAAAATAGAGAGAGAGGGAGAGCGAAGAGGGTGTGAGGCAGGCAGCGTTGCGCAGCGCAGAGCAGCTTGGCGTACGGAGTAGGCTTTGATGACGTTGAAGAGCGCCTTCTGCCCCGCGCCCTTCTCCTCCTGGAACATGCTGTGCAGCGGAAACGTGCGGTTCACATCCCGCTGTATCTCACTGCCGTAAGAGCAGGGGAGGAGGGCGGAGAGGGGGGAGGTGGGGGGGGGGGGAGGGAGGGGGGGTGGTGGGCGGGGGAAGAGTTCGATTAGACCAGACAGCATGGGGAGAGGAAACAAGGGATGTGAAGTGTTAGAGATGACAAGGGAGCGAGGCAGCAGGGAGTCGCGTGGTAATGATGTGACGACTCCGGTGCAGAGCGGTGTAGTTGCAAGGTGATGCATTGACGACAGGGAGGGTAAACGAGAGACTTAAAAAGAGTGTGCGTGTGTGTGCAGACAGGGAGAGAGGAGAGGGTGGAGCGCACTTGGCGGAGACGGATGGCTGCTTGAGCAGGTTACGATAGTTGCGACGACTCATGATCTCATCCTGCCATGCCACGCCACGCCATGCCATGCCATGCCAAGCCAAGCCATGCCATGCCATGCCATGCCAAGCCATGCCAAGCCATGCCATAGCATGCCATACCATGCCATACCATGCCATGTCATGCCATGTCATGCCATACAACCACACGGTGGAAGGGGCAACACATGGGTGGTGGTAAGCTCAAGCGACACAGGCAGGCATGTTCCCACATTGCATGGCATCCGGCCCATAACCCATGAAGCAGCGTATTGAATTATCCCATTGCTCCACCCATGGCAAAACCCTGAGGCAGCAGGATACATGAGCCCCACCCCACACATCAGTCACCCGGGATTCAAGTGTTATTCCGGCAGCAGCAGTGTATTCCTCCCATGGCGTTCTGTGTGCAGTTTCTCGTCCCCGCTCCTCCTCACCTAGCCAGCCCTTCGCGTCACCATGTCCCCCTTCCCCACCTACCCCTCTTCCCCTCGGCTCAGCATGGCAGCAGCAGCACGCACCTCGGGGTCAGCGCATGCGATGGCGAGCCATGTCTTGGCGCGCTGCTCGCCCTTCACCTGCCCCCTGGCCAGCGCTGCCAGCAGCTCCGGGCCCACCACTGGCAACTGCTGCTCCCCCTGCCCCGCCTGCTGCTGCGCATGGTGATGGTGGTTGTGATGATGATGTGGGGTGCTGTTGTCAGGGGCATGGTCGTCCAGGTGCGGGTGCGACCCGGGGGAGGCAGACTGGGTAGGGTCCTGGTGGTCAGTCACAGTGGTGGGGGAAAGGGGTTGGGAGGAGGGCAGGAAAGGAGATGGGGGACGAGAGGGAGGGGACAGGGGATATGAAAAAATTGGGAGAAGGTGGTGGAGGCAAGAGAGTGAGAGAAAGGCAGAGTAGCAGCACAGCACCATAGCGGGTGCACCCATAGAGCACATGCTCAGTCAGCAACAGCTAATATGCAATCCAGAAAATTCGTCTGCACAAAGCAGGTGCACTGCTCCCTGTACCTTCCCCATCATCCCTCCCCCTCCTCCTCCTCACCTCAAGGTCCCCTCCGCCAGCGGACGGCATGATTCGTCTCATGCGCTCCCACATGCGCATCATCTGTCTGCCGCCCGACACAGCAGCCTCAGCAGCCACCATAGCTGCCTCCACCCCACTGGACCGATCCAGCCGTGCTGCCTCCTCCCTCAGCTCTGCTAGGTCCACACTTGACCCTATCGTCGCCACCCTCCTGTGCCGCTGCCGCCGCATCCCCACTGCCCCAACCCTCCCTGCTACCCTCCCCGCGGCCAAGCTTGCGCCCCCACCTGCTGCTACCACAGCCGGGTGCAGAGGGGAGGAGGACAGGGAGTGTGTCGCGTGTGTGGCACTGAGCGCATCCGTGATGGTGGAAGAAGGGGCGGCTGGCACAGCGTGTGGGGACCCAGACGCTGCCTGGGATGGCCTGTGGAGCAGCAGGGTCGAGATCGGTGGAGAGGAGTTCAATGCGGTTGCCGCTTTCAGGTTTGGTGAGGCGGCGGTGGGGGTTGAGGCAATGGAGAAGGCAGAGGCTCGTGGGGTGAAGCGCGTGGTGCGGGGGGTGATGGGGGGCAGCACAGACGACGAGTAGGGTGCGTGATGGGCCGCGTGGGGGGTGTGTGAGGACGAGGAGGAGGAGGAGGGGAAAGGGGAGTCGTCGTCGTGGTTGGGGCCGAGATGGGAGGCGCGGTGGAAGATGGGCGTCATGGCAGCGGAGCACATGGGCGAGGGCGGGTGGGCCGTGGATTCAAACACCGGCAACGATATGGGCACCGGGCACCTCGGCCCACGCGTGCCTGTGGGAAATGAGGGAGGTTGCAGTGGGCGAGAGAGAAGGTTTAGTTGGGGGTTGGGGGTGGTGTGAGTCCTGCCGCGAAGCGTTAACCATATGCGTGCAACACCTTTTGTTTTCTCCCCTCAAACCAGTTCTGACTCTGACGATGCATGTGCACATCTACATCCCATTCCACTCCCTTCACATGCATTTCCTTTCTTTCTTACAAGGCCACACTCTTTCCTTCCTGCGACATCAACCATAAGCACCATGCACGGCACACCCACCCTTCTCGCTGTCCCCCACTCCACTTAGGCCTGGCGATCCCTTCTCGCGTTTCTCCCCCTCCCCATGTCCTCTCCCCCCTCCCCTCCCACCACTCCCCGCACCTCCACTCCTCCCCGCACCTTCTCCCCTCCCCCCTCCCCCCCTCTCCACACCACCACCAGCCACTCCTTTCCCCCCCGCGCCCCTGCCTGCCCCCGCTGCGTCCTCCCCCTCTGCAGGCCCCCCGTCGCTCCCTCCGCGGCGGGAAATGGCTGTCTGCTGCTCGTTCGCCAGCAGCTCGTTCTGCCGCTCAATCTGACGGGGGGGAACGGTCGGGTAGGAGGGACCAGGCCACGTGCGGAGAGAGCAGGGCGAAGGCAGGGGCAGGGAGAGAAAGTAAGAGAGGAAAGATAGAGAGGGAAACAGTAGGAAAGTGCCAGGGGGAGAAACGGGAGAGAAATGAAACGGGTGCACAGGGAGGGTGTAGCAAGCCGTCTGCAGTTGAGCCATGAGCACAACAGCAGCAATGCACCCGCAGTGACGCATACAAGCATGGCAGCACACGCAAGATAAAGCAGTGAAAGGGCGTGCTGGGAGGAGTGCGCGAGAGTAGGAGAGCGGGAGGGAGCGCGGGCGGGCAGCGCACCCGGAGCAGGAGGATTTCTTCATAGAGGTATTCGAGCCACTCATCGTGCATCATGTTGCTGAACAGCTTCTCCTCGCCTATGCGCCCCGGTGCATCGTCCTCCTCCACCTCCCTCTGCGCCTCCGCCGCTGCTGCCGCCGCCCCCTTGCCTGCTGCTGCCACCTCCAACTCTGCCCCCCACCCCATATGAGAGGCAAGTGACAGAAGCACAGAGACATGTGCCAGATGCACAGGGCAATTGGTGTGAGAGAGATGTTGTGAGGGAGAAGGGGACGAGAACGGTGGAGTGGAGCAGGTGTATGGAGACACGTGGTTAGCTGGGAAGGCCGTTTGCAGCTTGCCAGTATCCGTATTCTGTATGTGCTCCATGGCGTGGCGTGGCGCGGTGTGGCATGGCATAGCGTGACGAGGGGTGGCGTGGCGTTGCACGCATACCTGCTTCTCTGAGGGCGACGACCTCGGGCTCTGAGAGCACGGCGTTGAGGAACACAGAGCGCGCCCGGGACATGCTCGCTGATGCGTCCTCGCCCGCCCCTCCCGCCGCCCCTGCTCTGCTGCCCCCCGCCCTGCTGCAGGACCGTGGCAAGAACACACGTGAGAGGGGCGGAAGGGAGTCGAGGGCGGGGAGGGAAATGGTGGGGGGTTGAGTGAGGATGGGGGCCGAGAGAGAGAGAGTAGGAAGACGGAAGGGGCTGAAAGAAGGAAGAAGAAGAGTGAAGGCAAGAAGGATCAAAGGAGGGAGGCGGAAATACGAGTCAAAGTAGATCACAATGTGCTGATAAAGGAGTGTGGGGACGGCAAGGACGGCAATGGGAGGTGAGGGAGGCCCACCTGACATCATCGTCCATGGAGCTGTCCTCCACGATCTGCCACACAACACATGACAGCACAACACAGCACAAGACAGCAACACACGACGTGCACCACTCTGTTAGTCCATCCATCCATCCACCCACCCATCCACGCATCCATCTAATCTGCCCATGCCACTTCGTGTCTGCTAATGCGTGCCATGCCTTGGTTGGCAGGTGATGACAGCGAGACAGAGCAACGGTATACGTCAAGCCCTCTCGGCCTGTTGGCATGCATGGAAAGGAGCTTTAATGCGCATGCTTTCAGTCATGGCTCAGTGCTGTGCGGCCCATGGGCGATGCTGGTATTTTCCAGAAAAGCTACACAAGCGCACGCGCGCGCAGCGTGCGGTGCGCTGTGCAGCACCCAGATTGCCGCGCGCACGCCACCAATGGGGCGGGGGAAGGAGGGGAAGGGCGGCAGAGGCGAAGGAGACAAAAAAGGCCGTACGTGTGGCATCAAACAGAGCGAGGGAGACGCGGAGAAAGGAAAGGGGGTAGGGAAGGTTGGTGGGGTGACCTTGATGGAGCCCGAGGGTTTCAAGATGGTGAGCTGGTCCTGGATCACCCGGCCCACACCCACGGCATCCATCATGCCGCGCGCACTTGCTCCTGGAACCCAACGCAAGGGATTGAGGGGGATGCACACGACGTTGCTCGTGAGGGACGCGCAGTGAGGGAGAGGCGGCGCAGCGAGAGACGGCGCAGTGAGAGACGGCGCAGTGAGAACCAACGGGATTGGACACGAAATGAAGCGAGGGGGGATGGGGAGCCGTTACGTGATCGCACACTAGCGCGACATCTCCTTACTAAGCTACGGAGGACGCGCTTTCACTGCTCCAGCTATTCATCGTTTCCCGTGAAACAGCGACAGGATTTCGAATGACCTAATAGACATGTGCCATGGATGAACCCTACCTGGCTGCAACACCTAATGGACGGGTATAAATAATCGATGCAGTTGGAAGTGAGAGATGCTTTCGATCGAACGAGCAATAAGAACGCGAGGCTTTGACCGTTAATGCCTGAGTCCAGCCGACGAATCATTGCCTGCAAAGACCACGCGGCACGGAGAACAGATTTACGAAAAACTGAGGCTGTATGGAATGTCAGCAATTTAGACATTGATGTAAGACTCTCACCAGAAACGGCAATTGCAGAGAACGGCAAATAAATTCCAGTGTACTTCCGACCAGGCGGCAGCCTCAACGTCCTCGGCTGCTTTTGTTCCCAAGCATAATAGGCTAGGAAGCTGGGAATCAGTTGTATTGGAACTTGGAAGCCGCTAACATGCATGAACTGGTAGCAGCACAACCTACAGAATCTTCTCAAGACCTTACTCAACCGCTCTAGTTTACCGTAAAAGCATATCAAAGCGCAATAGTGATTACTTGAACCGTAATGCGGGAAATGTGAGCACGATGACTTGGCTTTGCTGTCTCCGTTGGTCAAAAGCGACAAGAGGCTGACTGGACTCTGTGGAAGTGGATGAGGTGCAGTCTCGCTGTTCTGGGGAGGAGAGGAGGGCGGGCTGGGGTGGGGAGGTTGGGCTGGTTTGGTTTGAAATTACGGTGTGGAGCACGGTCTAAATAAATCTCTACCATCTCGCGAGTCTCTCCTCAGTACAGATCTCTACAATATCACGAGACAGAAAATGGGTACCGTAACCTTGCATAGCGCGATAATCCACAGAAAAACACAGGGATTTGAGCTTCTCCCACCCGGGTTCTTGAAACGCACGGTTGGGCTGGACCACATCCACAGGCTGATTGTCGGTGGTTCTTTACAAGCATCTAGAATTATGCTTCTTTATATTCCTTACAAACTACAATCAATATATTCCCAGAAATTCACAAAATAAGAACTTGTAAGAATTTATAGGTTCCCTCTGGTAATATCTCGTATAATCATGCCTAAATATTTTATTATTTTTGTTCTTGGCCTGTTCTTAATGACAGCCTCTGCTTTGCAACTTAGCGAACTAGGTCACCCATGTCTGTGTTGCTGCTCATATGACAGGTATCGATGGTGTTCATATGCTGTTGCGAATGTCGGTTCTCACTGACTGCCATTACCAGCCATCTCGGTCTCTGCCATGGTCGTCAGGGCTGGCGAAGTGCGTCTTGCTCAATGCGCGCCTCTGCCAAAGGGGTTGGCCCACAATTTCCCACCACAACCGACCAGGGGCCAGGAATTCAAAAATTGCAATGACGTCGCGACTCGGCAGAGGTGACATGCGCCTCGGCTCGAATTCAGCGGCCTGTGCAAGGCCCCACCAGGGAAGGATGGATTTTCATGCTCATGTCATGTCGTTACCACCACCTCATTGCCACGGGGGTGAAACACTCTTCATCCTTCAAGCTGAACGGGCACGGAGCGGGACCAGACAAGAGGGAATGTACAACCGACGGCTGAGCAACTCGTGTCCGCCACAGACTAAAGAAGAAGCCCGCCAAGGATTCGAGCGTGCTCGGGCTGTGCCAAATTTGCACTTTTGTAGTGCAAGCGAGGTGACGGCAAATTAGGAGAGCAGTGAGCCGACAATCATTCCACTCCAGCTCGTTTGCATTAGTGTTTAAGATGGAACCTTATTAGTGCGAGGTGGAACCATTATAGCACCAGACCAGAACGATCCAGTAGTAACAACTAGGTGTTACACTCGCGATAACTTTTACTACCTGCTATCTTGAAAGAGATCCGAAAGTAAACATCGCTCCTTACCGAGAGCGTCGACGCAATGGCGCAAAGAATCGTCACCGTCTGCCATAGCGCACGAGTCCTCCTCTTAGCGTTCTTTCTCGTCCACCTGCTCGTCCTCCCGCATCACGCCGTGAGCGCGCACAAAGCGGGAAAGTTACCAGACGCCCCCTGCGACGGGGATAGCAGTCAGTCCGCGCACTTCTGGTGGCCCTGGATTACCACCCCCCGCAAGTTTACCGCTCGGCGATTGGTCGAAACACCATCTCTTGAGCAAACATCCACCGCCGGCAGAATGCTCGCGACGAAGGAAAGCTCGACATTGCCGAGCAGACTGCCAGACATGCCGTCGCCCACTCCTACTGTCACCACGTCAGCCACCTCGTCCGCGAAGAAGAGCAAGGCGCCCAAGGGCAGCGTCAGCACAGGCGTAATGCCGCCCGAATCCACTAAGAAACCCACCCCTGCAAATCCCAAGCCCACCTCGCCATCACCCAAGAAACCCGCCCCCTCCCCCAAGACCCCCGCGCCAGCTCCTGGGGGAAAGTCGCCCGTTCCGGGCGGGAAAACTCCGTCGACGAAGACCCCTTCGCCTTCGCCGAAGGGCGGTAGCCCTCCCGCCTCACCAAAGCCCTCTCAGGGTAGCCCTAACCTCCCTAAGTCTCCGCCTTCCACGCCGTCCCCGCCCAAGAACACCAGCGCTTCCGGTCAGAAACCTCCCGCCTCACCCACCTCCCCTCCCGTAAGCCCCCCCCCACCTTCCCCCAAGCCCGCGCCCCCGCCAAAACCGCGCCCGACGAAGCGGCGCGACGCGAACGAGACGGTCCCGACGGGGCCGAGCAACGCGGTTGGATCAGCCGACTGCCAGTACCAAGCCGCGAAGGAGCTCGCGTCGTGCGCCATGGGGTTCGCGCAGACGGCGGGCGTGAAAGGCGGGCAGGCGCTCGAGGTGACGCGGTACATCGTGGAGAACGAGTTCGACTCGCTGGACGGCTCGCAGATGTCGGTGGGGTCGCTGCGCTGGGCGGTGACGTACCTGCGCGATGGCGCGTACATCCGGTTCGCGCGCAGCATGGAGATCGTGCTGCAGGGGAACCTGTTCCTGCGCCCGCGCACGACGATCGACGGGCAGGGCTTCCACGTGCGCATCACCAACGGCAGCATTGTAATGCAGAACGTCAACGACGTCATCGTGCACAACATCGAAGGTACGCCGCTGCTCCCCTTGCACCCCCTGGATCCTTCCCGCGCCGTGCTACTACTGGAATATTACTAGCAAAAGTACTAGCACTACTATTTCTCCCAGTCGTAGTACCAGTTCCTTGGCTATCGCTGACCAACTAGCAGCCGCTCACACGTGAAGCCTCCCGTCCGGTCTTCCTCCTCTATCCCGCTCTCCCGTCCTCCCCCCCGTTCGCTCCTCCCCAGTATCGGGGCAGCCGCGCGGCGATCTGATCCCGATCTACAACAGCTCGCGCGTGTGGGTGGACCACTGCCGCCTCTTCGGCGGGCTCACGGGCACCGTCGACGTCGGCAAGGGCAGCACTGACGTCACCATCTCCAACAACTACGTCAGCAGCTACGGGCAGACGATGCAGCTGGGGCTGTCCGACGTGGAGAACGCCGATACGTCGATGCGCGTCACTCTGTATCGGAACTGGTTCAACGCGTCGGGCGCCATGCAGCCGCTGTGCCGCAAGGGGTGGTGCCACGTGGCGAATAACGTGTACACGAGCTGGGGGTACTACGCGATCGCGGCGCGCAAGGGCGCCGTGATCCGGTCCGAGAAGAATTTCTTCCGGCCTGACCCGGCGGGCAGGCGAAAGGAAGTCACGCCGTACTGGAAAGGAATGCCCCCGACGGACGGCAGCTACGATCCGACGGTCACGATTGTCTCGATCGACGACTTCCTAGCAGGCAACGCGACGTTCTCGGACACGGCGTATCGCGGCCCGACGCCGGTATTCACGCCGCCTTACACGCTGACGTTTCCGAAGAGCACGCGCATGCTGGAGACGTGGGTGCAGTTCAACGCGGGCCCGAAATACGACGCGCTCCTAGAACTTGATCCGCCCAACCCGGCCTTCCTTCCCCCCGCGCCCTCGCCCCCTCCTTCTCCCGATTCCACTGCCGGCAACGCCACCGCCGGCAACGGCACCGCCGGCAACGCCACCGCCGGCAACGCCACCGCCGGCAACGCCACTGCCGGCAACAGCACCGCCAACAACGGCACCGCTGCCAACGGCACTGTGGCTTCGCCCCCCCCGCCGCCTCCCCCGCCGCCCGAATCCCCCGACTGCCAGTACGCTCCGGGCGCGAACGGGGCGGATGGGCTGTCGGCATGCGCCGTTGGGTTTGCGGCCGCGGCGTTGGCAAGCGGGAATGGCAGCACTGGCAACACGACCGACGGGAGCAGCGGTGAGCGACCGGTGTACGTGGTTACCCTGGACGAGGACTTCGCAGCGTCGTCGCGACAGGGCTCGCTGCGGTGGGGCATCTCGAACTACGCGCGCACGGGCGCGGTGTTCCGGTTCGCGCGCGACATGACGATCCAGCTGGCGGCGCCGCTGTACGTGAAGTCGCTGACGACCATCGACGCGCGCGGCAGGAGCGTGAAGCTGGTGGGGGACAGCCTGCTGGTGCAGCACTCGCGCGGCGTCATCATCCACAACATCGAGAGTAAGCCACGCGCTCTTCGCCTCCTCATGCACTTTATTCCTCTACCTTTCTCATACTTCCTTTACCCGTTTTGCTCCCTCTCGCTTTCAGATTCCTCCTATTTCTAGTCTCTCATGATCATCATCATTCACAGCAGCACCCGTAACCCAGGAAAGTCTTGACTCCTGTATCCCATTCTCGCTTCGCCCCTAACTCCTCCCCCCGCCCCTTTACACCCCATGCGCGCAGTATCCGGCAGCGTTCGTGCCCCAGCGCACATAGCCCTATACAACAGCACGGGCGTGTGGGTGGACCACTGCCGCTTCTCCAACACCTCCACCCTCTCCGGCGCCATAGAGCTCGCGCGCAACAGCACAGGCGTCACCATCTCCAACTGCCACTTCGCCTCCAACCAGCAGGGCTTCGCGCTGCACCTCGGCCAGTCCGACTCAGACAATATCAACTCCGGCATGAACGTTACGGTGTACCGTAACTGGTTTGACGGGTCCGCCGTGCCCGCGTGGCAGCCCATGTGCCGGCTGGGGCTGTGCCACGTGGCGAATAATCTGTACACGGGGTGGACGGGAGACGCCATGGAGGCACGTGTGGCGGCACAGGTGCTTCTAGAGCAGAACCAGTTTCAGGCGGGTGCAGCGTCGCGGCAAGTCGTGGCGAATACCACGGCGCCGGTGCCGGGGCTGGTGGCAGCTGTGAATAACACGCTGCTGCAGTGGACGGATGGGGGGGGAGCGGTGGCTCCGGTGTCTGTCACTTGGGGCCCGGTGTATGTGGCGGTGGAGGGGGGCGTGCAGGTGTTTGTTCCTCCGTATGGATTGGATCTCATGCCTTTGGATGGCAACTTCACTGCGTTTGTCAAGGCCAATGCTGGCCCTCATGCCAAGTAGTAGTAGGTAGGTTGACATCTGACAGGAGCAGCAGTGGAGTGTGGGCTGAGGCCTGCCTTGCTGCTCTGCTGCTGGGGCTGCTGTGGCGCCGAAGCTTCCAGATACTTGGAAGCAATTAGGAATGTAGGGACTAGGAAACACAAACCATATCGGTTTGTCAAAGCAAGAATTGTTGACCTGCTTAGGTAGACACCGGTTGATAAGAGTTTGCTTGTTGCGAAGGTGTATGACATGACAGGTAGTACTGTATCTGGTTAATCGATACAAATACCGTACCATGTTTGCATTACACAATCGAGTTGTACACATACCCACATACCGGTGGCGCAGTCACATCCTTTATTACAATTTGCAAACTTTAGTTGCTGTTGTAACCAACAGCTTTGACAGCTGGCACATGAACTATGTGCATGATGGTCTTGGTCCATCCATATTTCTCCTGGCTTTCCTTCCAGATTGCAGTCCTAGGCATGGACTAGCATCAGTGGCAGCAGCACCATCCATGCCCACCCCAGCATGGACTGGCATTGCACCACACAGGCAGAGAGGAAGCTGCGGAAGCAAACATGAACTGCGGAACCAAACATGAACCGTAAACCCTAAACCATGATTCAAGTGTTTCGCCCACATCAAATGTTGGTAGCCTTACATATGGACGTGCCAGTGGTAATAAATGCGCTTTTCATAATTCATGTTTGAGCACAGGTGTGAAAGATGGTAGGTCCACCGGTGCACAACATTGGAATGTCCAATGTAATGTAATCTGGCACATCCTTCTGCTGCTAATGTCCATTTCAGAGAGAAAAATTTCCACATTGGGAAAGAAAGGACAAAACAAAAAAAAATCAGGCATCCTTCCAAGTATGACATGCACAAGTCTAAAATTACAGCACCCAGCTTGTGGTAGCAGGTCACTCCGACACCACAAGCTCTTCGAGCCTGCCCTGTCTGTCTCACAGGCCCTGCATCACTTATTCATGAAACAAACTTTCAAAGTACCCTGCACTGCACACCCCATGGCTCTGCCATCACCCTCCGCGAGAGGGCCACACACCACCATTCCTCGCACCCCTGCTCTTCTTGGCAACGACGACCCAATTCCTCCGACTCCAACCTTCTTCACACCCGCCCCTTGCGTCTCTGCCTGGCTGCTTTTGCCCCTGTCGCTGCCTTTGCCTGTGGCTGCCTGACTCCTGCTGCTGCCGATGCACACGCACCAGAGCTTCCCCCACTGCTTGGAGAAGGGGAAACGGAGCAACTGGCGCCTTGCCCTCCAGGAAATGTTGCTTGCGCTGCCGCTGCCGCACTTGCTGTTTGCACGGGACGTGCCACAGCAGGCGCTGCAGCAGCGAGCGGGCGAGAAAGAGGAGGGAGAGGTAGGCGAGGGAGAGGCCAGCGGAGCAGGCCAAGGGGGGGAGGTGCTGCAGCCGCTGCGACGGCAGAAGCACCCAGAGGAAGAGCGCCCAGTGGAAGAAGAGGGAGAGGAGGAAGGCCGTGGTCTGGCTGAGATGACGGTGGTGACGTAGCAGGGACTCCGACGGCAGGGAGTCTGCACAGCACACACATGAGAGGACAGGGCGGACAAGGAAATACAGGAGTTAGCACAGAGCTAGAAGCGAGTGCAGACGGGAAGGGAAAGATACAACAGGTTGGCAAAATGGTCTAGGAACCATGAGGCGGTGAGTGGGCAAGTAGTGTTGGCAGGGCACGTACCGCTTTCAAGCACTGCAGGCTCTGCTCCATCAGCACGCACACCTCCTCCCGACACACTGCCCCCCTCCCGCTTCCCCTCCTCCACCTCTTCCTCCCCCCTCATTTCTTCGCTGTAAGTACCACCGGCCGCCCCAACAGCAGCCACTCCAGCAACCCCCAGGGCACCACCCATGGCTCCAGCGGTGCTTGCTCCTGCAGCCCACATCTGGTGCAGGCGAGCAAGCTCGTCTCGCAACGCGCCATTCTCATATGCGGTCACGGCCACCACTTGCCGGAGCTGCCCTATGGTGGACTGCAGTGCCGCGCACCTCCCTTCCAGCTCCGACACATAGCTCTTCCGCCGCTGCCGCGACTGCAGCGCCGATTGCCTGTTGCGCATCAGCCGCTTCCGCCTCCGCTCCTGCTCCTCGTCCTCCCAGCTGCCCTCTTCCCCCTCCCCTTCCGCCTCGCCAACCTCTTCCCCTTCGGTTCCCCCGCCCGCTGTGCTGCCAGCCCTGGCGGGTCCGCCGGGAGCGCTGCTCGCTGCGGGAGTTGGCGGAAGGCACGTAGCGGGATGCGCGGCAGATGGGGGTGGGGCTACGGCAGCAGCAGCGGCAGCTGCGCGGGGTGCGGCGGTTGGAGGTGTCGCCGCACTTGCGGGAGCAGGCGGCGGAGACACACGAACGGGGGCCGGGGGACGTTGTGGGATGGGAGCGGCAGCAGTAGCGACGGCGGAAACGACGGGAGTGGAAGCGGGTGGAAAGGCGAACGGAATCGAAAGTCTCTCCTGCAGAGTTTGCGCCTGTGGCACAACTTGCAGTTGAGGTTGGAGGGGTGGCTGCGGTACTGCTTCGGACCGTGGCTGCGACTGGGACAGCACGCTCCACTGCACGGCGCCATCTCTGCCCGCGGTAATAGCGGGTATAACGTTCCCGCCACATGGAACCATCGCCGTTCTTGATTGTCCCCCGCTCGCTGCTGCTGGCCCAGTCCCAGCAGCAGCCCCCCGGCTGCGCACCTCCGCCGCTAACTCCGCTGCGCCTTCCGCCTTCTTGGAAGCGGAATCTTCCGCGCCTTTGCGCGCATGCGCGCTCAAGCAGCGCCTGAGGGCGCAGACAAGCGCTCCATCCGCACGACTGTTCCTGCTCGTGCGCCCGCTTCCCCCGCTGCTGCTGCTCCCGCCACCGCCGCTGCTGCTGCTCCTGCTGCTACCCCTGGCGCGCGGAGGCGACGCGATAGCAGCGCGGTCAGCTTCACCGGGACTGGAAATCTGTCGCTGCTGTGGTTGCTGCTGCTGCTGCTGCTGTAGGTCGTGCGAGTGTGAAGTCGGCGAAACCTGCTGCTTCTTCGTCATCGGCTCCCTCTGCCGCTTCCTTGTCGCCACGCCTCCCCCATCTCCCACACGCGCAACCTCGCTCGCTTCACATGCGGGGGCGCCAACGGCGGGTGCAGCAGGCTGCGGCGTCCACCACACTCCGCGCGAGGGATTCGGAACAGCATAACCATTCGTCGCATCAAGCGCGGGGGAAGCTCCGGCAGGAAGCACGGCGGCACTGCCGTCGGCCGGCAAGGAGGCGCTTGAGTCATAGTTACCGCCGGCAGGTAGTACCTGCAGGTCAACCGGGTTGAGCGCGCTCTCGTCCGCCACAACATGAGGAGAGGAAAGGAGCGGGGTTGCTACCGAGGGGGCAGTAGCACTGCCAGGTGCTAGTTCCACACTCCCTTGATACAAGTCCATCGGATCGTTCGTGGGCATATTTGGCTGCCCGCCGTAGCCGGACTCCGGAAGAATGTCGGTCAACCAATCGCAGCCGCCCACGTTTGCGGCGCAGTGCTGCTCCTCGACAGCCGCGGCCGCGCTGTCGACGAGGATATACGCGCCCGTTTCCGCCGCAGATGCCGCAGCAGCATTCGTGACGAGCTCCGTCAAACCGGGACCCGGTTGAGTCGGCGCGCTTGGGGGATCAGAAGCGTCAATTGGGGCGGAAGGCAGCCCGTCTAGAAAGTGCGAAAGCGCCGCGGAGTGGTCGTCAAGATGCATCCACGTGTTATCTGCACGCATCCACGCGTCGTCGCAGTCGTAAAACAGATCACCGTTCCCGCCGCCACCGCCTCCGCCGCCCTGGTATTCCAATTGCCGCACCCCCCCTGGATGAGCAGTCACGTCAGCTTGCGCAGTCACAAGGGCCGGCGCCGGAAGCGCAGAGGATCGGGACAGGGACATGCCGTCGATGCACATGCGGAAGCTGCTAGAAGAGTCGTTCAAGAAGTATCCATCGCCTGGACCTAGCCCGTCGCCCGCACCCGACGTCGCGTCGTGCTCCCAGGCGACCTCGGGAAGGTTCCCGCCAGAAACATCGGACGACGAGACGGAGCGAGCAACGAGCAGAGCGGGTGGGGCGGTCATGGAGGGCCCGCCGCCACGCGCTCGCGCGGAGCGGAGAGGAGGCTCGAGGCCTGGTTTAGAGGGAAGAGACTGCGTCTGTCGAAGCGTTTGCGCAAGGTTTGAAGAACAAGCGGAGGAACGAGAGGAAAATCAGGTCACAGGTGGCGGGCGGTCCTGGAGCATCATAGCTTTGATTGAACGAGGAAGACTGGCTGAATTGATCGGCTTGGGATGATGATCCTTGGTATCAACTGCCTGTACTGAACGGAAGATATATGAACAGCTACACAATTAGGAACCGCGCGCCGGGGTATGCGAGCAGGTGTCTTGTGGTCTAGGAGGCGAGCAGTCAAGTGATTCAGTGGTTGGGAAAAAACCTTGGGGAGGTGCATGGCATTGAAGTTTGTTTTGCTGTGCTCGAGGCTGGCTGGCTTTTGAAAAGAACGAGAATCGCCAAGCAGCCACGCAGGCACGCAAGGTCGCACACAGGCTGGCTCTGGGTCGCTGGACTCGCGCGACTCCGAACGACACGAAGGGGGACGCCCAAGGCGAGAGGGAAAGGGACCTTCGCGGACCATCGCGGAAAGGGGAGATTCAACCCATCTGCACACGCGACAGGAGAGGTACATTCACCAATCACGGATCTCGTTGCATCCTCCCATGCATCTGTTGCGCACTTGCCTCTTGTCAGCAGCAAGATCTGCGCATCACTCAGGGAGGACGTTTGGGGGGTCGCTCATCTGGCTGGGATCTCTGGCGCGAAATGACTGTCCGCAAAAAGGGGGCAAGGTTCTTCCCTCCCCTCCGCCCTCCCCTCCCCCCACAAATTCCCTGCACCAATCCCATTGGGCGGGGAAGGTAACGCCTCAGCAGTTTCGAGGAGCCTTCCAGAGGAGAAGGCCCCTGGCTGCCTAGCACGTCA